CAGTGTTAGGTTTAACCAAATGATTAATGAATTATATTAATGAAGAAAACTGCAAAGCAAACTAATAAAGTGAAAAATTGACTAATTTACCCCTGTGAAGACATGCACTGAACCAAGCCTTTGGTAAATCTGACCATGTGACATGTCTGCTAAGATCTGCCTACATCAAACAGCTAAAGGCTAGCTAGTCACAGTGAGAACTATTAATACCAGGACAGAAAGTGCACTGGTGCCACTGGTACTCATGTACTGGCCTGCAGTACCTGGATAGCAATAGAACCTACGCTTTTCCTGGATTACAGTTCAACACAATCAGACCAGGAAAGTTGGACTTTCTAACCTCCAGAGCAGAGGTGTTCAGGATGGGAGGCAGGGTCTCCTCTGAGCTCACCGTCAGTCTCAGCCCTAAACTCTTCACCCTGTGCATCCATGACTAGCTTGACACTGGCAGGATCGAGTATGCTGATGACACGAGCATCCTGGGCCTCATAAAGCTGCCGGAGGAGTCCACTTACAGGCACGTCATCAAAAACCTCACGGTCCAAACAGAGGAGAGTGACCTCTGCAACATAGACAAAACATCTGAAATAAGATTTCAGGAAAAACGCAACAAACTAAAATAAAGAATAAACTGAACTCTGATCGTAGAAAATAATAACTGAAGTAAAACAAGTGCTTATGTGAAGAGGTGGTGCAGGAGTGGACTGACGCACGGCTTTGGGGTCCCTGTGGTACCAACTCTATCATCAGAGACGGTTACCATCCAGGCCACAGCCTCCTCTGAACGTCCAGCCTGAGCCGCAGCAGAGTCTGATGATATACACACAGCACGCTTCCACAACGGCTTCTTTCCTGCCACAGTTCCTGATGGGAGAAACAAAATAAGGACACACACACAATCTAATTTAGTTGGTGCAATACACATTTCAACATGCAATACATCTCTAAATGACAGACGTTTTCTCATACCACAGCTCTCTGAAACTACCTGACATCTATATTTCTCTGACCCTGACTCTCAGCTCTGCACAATATTTTCTATGAACCCACATCTAGTGTTTGTGTACAAATGACAAATAAAACACTTTATGTGTATCTTTAAAGGCTGTTTGGGAATCATCTTGTTAATACAAAAATTAGTTTTACACATGTTACACTGTGTTTGTAGACACAACACCCCTTCATAGGCTTTTTGATGCT